GATAGATTGAGTCCTTAGTAAATCACCCAAATGAAATACTAAGGCTAGGACCCAACACAATACGCTACAACCTAGAAAAGGGATGCCGTAATCTAGTTGCAGAATATTTGAAGGTAAGTGAATGACGATTCACTAATTTCCACCATGAAAAACGAAAAAGAAATTTAAGTTTTAAATCTATGAAAACTCCTAGATCCTTTGAGATTCATTGAAATTTCAATGGCATGTTTAAATCTCGATATGCCCCTCTTGTTTGTGACTGGGATGCCGAGGATCACAAAGCGGGTGTGAATAACCATGCAAACTACATGGTGCCCTCACATGTTACAGTCACCTATTCGATGTGCCGGTAAACCACACACGCTCCACCGAACTATGACAAACATTGAGTCACCCTTTGCTACCTTTGCTTAGAACCATTTAGTGTGCCGGTAAACCACACACGCTCCACTAACGTCTTCGCAAGGGCACAAAGTGTAATTTCATGGAATTGCATCAATTCACTTTTGCCTAAGTAACTAAGATTGGGAATTTGAAAAACATTTAGTTACTTTGTATTTCATTATACTTATAATGGAAGGTTTCGTCCTATCCTACCCGTTCGGCTAACGACCCTCCACTAGTCAAGAGTGCGGTGGGTAAGAGTGGATACCCATTCAATCGCCATTTATAGGCAATTTCCTTAAACACCCCTTATAGACCAGCTTCGTGAATGAGGCCTACTAACGGTAAGACTGACTTTTACTCATACATATATATAATGTTAGACTTTTAATGTTATATATATAATATAGGGTGCATTTTACACTTTTAAAATATATGTGGTCAAATTTAACAATTATACTTTTAATTCAATTAAATTGCAAACCAAACTTTTATGGATTTATTAAATCTCTTTTAATTATACACCTTAATTAATTAATAAAACCATAAGGGTGTGATTTGAACTTTTCAAAACATACTAGGGTTTTAGAATTTAACATCCTAATTAAACTTTAATCAACTTTTAAATTCCAAAACTTGAGGGCAAGTTTTGAAACCTTTTTCAAAACATTAGGGTTTTAACTATTTAAATTTCAAAACTTCAAAACTTTTGGGTTCAAATTTAAACTATAAAACCTAAAGGGCAAAATATGAAACTTTTCATAACAACAAGGATCAAATAACAAATAATTTTAAATTAACATTTAATCACACAATTATCCATATTTGATTTATTTAATGATTTCTTGCAAAATAATTTATCAATTTACTCAAAATAATTAATCAATTATCTTATAAGGAAACAATTATCTTATTAATTGATAAATATCTTCATTTAGATCAAAAATATAGTCAAATATATAATATAATCAGATTAATATTGATCTAACATGATAAGGTAGCTATCCATATGCAAAAACAACAAGAAATCCCGAGATAAGCATTATCTAACGAGTTGACTCGTCGAGTCAAGCCTGGACTCGGCGAGTTCATCTATGGACTTGGCGAGTCCAGCCTCTAGAACACCAAAAATCGAATTTTTTAGATATACAATGCATCAATACTATTGAAACCAAGCTAGGCTCTGATACCACTGATGGGTTTTGGTCATAAGACATCTTGTATATTTATATATATATATATATATATATATATATATATATATATTATCCCCTATCATAATAAAACAGTACCAATATGCCACGTGTCATTGTATTAGCCTCCCTCATCGATTTATCCCGCCTAAAATCCTTAAGTGATTTTCCTAAACTACCCTTTATGCCTCTTATTCATTCGTCATTATCGGGAGAAAGCCGCCCATCGATTTGAAACCCTAATCTAGCCGCTCATCGCTCTCTCTCTCTCTTTCTCTCTCGGTTTCTTTATGTTCATATGATTTAGGAATTTATGATTCCATTGTTGTTCAGATTGTATGACATCTAAATATTACTATTAAAAGAATTGTTGAGAATTCCATAGACGTTTAATCATCCAACCCCTGTTAAAGGTTGATTTATGAAATCGGAGTCAAAGTGAAGTAGGAAGCAATTACAATTTAGAAAGATCGAAACTTTAGGAGGATGGGTCTCATCGGAGATTCGATCAGTTCGTTCATTTCAGACAAGCCTTAAAGCGGGCCATCACTCTGGGTACGCTATCCTATCTCTTTCTACAACATGTAACCTAGATGTATGCCTTCACTTATTCATTTCTGATTTCTGATTTCTGATTTCTGCATATGATACGAGAATTCTATTATCCCCATTTTCATGCATCTAGATTATTCTATTCTCAGATTTTTTATACTTATGCAGAAAACCTAAATTTGCATTGATGGAGTAGTTTCAGAGCATTACATCTTGTATAAAATTAGGATGATAAAGCAAAAGCCTCTTTGTATAATTCATACTTTTAAGTTCTTATATTTGTGAATGAGATTCTGGTTCCAATCAAATATTGTTTCTTGAAATAACTTGAATAACTATTTTTTTATATTATTATTATTTTTAAATGGTGTAAACAACAATCTAGAATTAAGCTTAATGGTGACATGCCAATGTAAAATGTGCCTTTAAATATATTTGATTTTTATCAGATTACTTAAGATACATTTTGGTTTTGACTTTAGGTATGATTGTTTCATCTGCAATAATTCTATGGAAATTTCTGATGTGTGTGACTGGTAGTGAATCGCCTGTTGTAGTTGTTCTTTCTGAAAGCATGGATCCTGCCTTCCAAAGGGTAAGTTTGTTTAATTTATTACTTTTCTTTTTGACTTGTGAATATACAATCTTTATACAAATCTTTATAAGTTTCCACATCAAGCAGATGTATGAATTCTTTAATTTCTGCTTCATATATTTTAAGGGAGATATTATGTTCTTATGAATGGGTTAAATGAAAAGACCAACTACCAATCAAAATCAAAATCAATACTAACCCAAGCAAATAGTTTATTTCTTTCTTTTTGAAATATATTCATTTATATTTCAATTAAATGATAATAATTGATAACTGCTAATAATTTCAGGAGTAAGGGTATATATGGGAAAAGGAAGAGTCAGTGGTGGAGGAATTATTGGTGAAACAGATGAAAAATTGGGAAATATGACTATTGGATCTAGAAGAGGGAGACCTTCACCAACACCAATGCAGGTTGGAATGGCAAATGGTAGATCCGATTTGTTTTCTAGAAGGCTATATTGACATATATACCCCTTTGGTTAATCTGATTGTGAGAAGGGTCTTGTATTGTGTGTGCTAGGGTCAAATGTCAAATCTGGAATTAAGTGGATTGGTCTTTATGTTTTTAGAATGTGTTGGTTATGTTTTTTTTTTCTATATGACAAATTTGAAAATTTTAACAGTTTGACAATATGTCTTTAATGTGGTTAAGAATATAATAATCTTCACTCTTAACCAAAATAAATAAGTTTTTTCAATCTTGCTGCCTTCTTAGTAGCAAGAATTTATAGGCGATTTTCAAGATATTGTTACATGCAACCAGACAAGAGAGATGCAATAATGAAAATTGGCACCCTTCTTATCCATTCAATAAAACATCATATTCACATCTGCTATGCTTCCTAGATATCTCTTAATAAGCTGCATTAACTCCCAGGGCTCATCATCTGCCAAAAAAAAATACAATTAACAATTGAACAGATCTATTACAACTATCTATCATTATTAGTGGATCTTGGTTAGGAAAGCTTCAAAGTGGACAAATTGATTCACAACAGATGTTTGAACTAAGCATTTGACCAAGATATTGAAACAAATCTATTATATGAATGGAATACATATTTCCAAGAAAAATCAGTTCATCACGATTCTATTGTGTATTATATTTATTTTCTTGATGAATTGTGTGTGTATTTTCATTTAAATTGAAACAAATTTAATACATCATCATTGCAGGTGGTGTATAAACTGTTACAATAACTTTATTGTGTTTTTACATATTAATCATGAGTCTTTGTGATTTTCTTCACCCCTTTAAAGATTATATCATCACATATATTTTGTTTAGTTTCTGTTAGCAAACAATGATGTTTAATGTAAATAAATGTATATATAAAGTAAATAATATTTCTTTTACCTTACGTTTATGAGGTTCGTTGAAATAAAAAGTATTTAAAAACTTTCATTCATCTACAATTTTAAATTATTGTTACTAATATTTAACTTTATTTTTTCTTATTGATATACATAGTTCATAAAAAAAAGTAATTAAATACATACAAATTACAAAGTTATTAAAAAATATAATATTACAATTCATAAGTTTTTATAAATTAATGATATATTACTTATATAATCAATTTGTTAATTCTATTTAAAATTATCACCCGTGGGTTCCACGGGTTTTAACCTAGTATATATATATATATATATATATATATATATATATATATATCGATCTTTTCGAGTTATTCTAGCTTTTAACACTCGAATCTTTCTGAAGCCCTATATCAATAAGACTTGTGTTTGAACGATGCAATAAAGTTCAAACTCGTCTCACACATTATTGATACTCTAAGTATTAACTATTGAGTATTCAACCCCAAAAGGGTTTCTAGTACAACAATATTTGGTGTTGTCCTTCCTGACTCTCTTCTTAAAGTCGAAGGTTCAAGTCCTTCTATTAACTTAACTGAAATAATTTAAAACTAGTTTAATATATTTGTTGTTTCATTATAAAAAAAAAAAAAAAAAAAAAAAAAAAAAAAGTATTCAACCTTACTTCAATTAAGGTGGAAGGGCCTATTTGGAAAATTGTAACAATACAGGGGCCTCGCTTAACCCTTTTTCTTACGTCGGGTTGTAGATATCATTATTACAACCGGATCCAAGTTATATAGTTAACTTAACACGCTCTCCGATCCGTTTCCATCTTTCAGATCTTCCCCAACAATTGATTTCTTCCCCATAAAGTCTTGTAATTGGGGTGGAATCTGTGATTCAAATCGTTAATCTGATCGAGTTTCTGACTCAATCTTACGAATTTCTTCACGATGTCGAGGGAATTCAACGTCCCGCCAGTGATTTTCCCATCCGGTGGAAACCCTAACACCGGCCCTCAACGACGACTCCCCACTGCCCCATTCCAGCCATCGAGATCTTCAAACCCTAGCATCCCTTTCATGTCCTTCGACATCGGCTCCTCTCCAGCATCCACCTCCTTTGCAACCCCCTCAATTTGGCAGCATCGGAGGCGGTAGCGGTAGTGCGAACTTCGACGATGAACCGCCTCTCCTTGAAGAGCTTGGTATAAACACCAAACAAATCTGGAACAAAACAGCTTCGATTTTGAATCCCTTTAGAGTTAAAGCAGATCTTCACGAAGACGCCGATCTATCGGGTCCGTTTTTGTTTCTTATGGCATTCGGATTGTTCCAGTTACTTGCTGGCAAGTTGCATTTCGGAATTATATTTTGGGTTGGGTGACAGTAGCATCTCTGTTTCTGTATGTTGTGTTCAACATGTTAGCAGGCCGAAATGGGAATCTCGATTTGTATCGGTGCTTGAGCTTGATCGGATACTGTATGTTACCTATTGTGATATTATCCGCAGTAGCATTGTTTGTTCCTCAAGGTGGGCTAGTGATCTTTGTGATGATGGGGATTTTCGTGATATGGTCTACACGAGTGTGCACGAGGCTGTTGGTGGAACTAGCATCTTGCGGCGATGAACACCGAGGGCTAATTGCGTACGCATGTTTCTTGATCTACATGCTTTTTTCATTATTAGTTGTATTTTGATATGGATTTCATCCCACCTGTTTAGTAGTATTCTTTAGAGATATGATTTGGGTACAATATAGTAATTGTTTCGTTTTTCTTTTTGATGTTCAAAATTGAAGATCACTTCTGTTGGGCATGTGAGGGGGATCAGGGGATTGATTTTGTGAACTAGTTAAGTAGCTGATATTAAACTTCAGGTTTTATTACGAATGAAAAGGAGAGTTGCTTACTTGCTTATGCTTACATACTCTGATCATTTCATGTTTCTTGTCTGTGTTATATGTTCTTGATCATTGTGTTTCTGTTGTTTTGTGGTATGCTTATCATGAATGGATTGTTATTAATGTGCAAAGAATCTTGGTGTCTTATAGATATGTAGTATTATCTATCTTAATTTATAAAGTATAAACACAATTAACATATTCAATATAGAACTACAATTTAAGAAAGAAATTGCAACAACATTGAACTTAAATCTCTGTTTTGTCTAGCTTGAACAACATCGACTCGAATAATCTACCATCAACATTGCACAACAAAATCAAAACAAGATTTCAAGAAGAAAATAGAGATCGGAGATGAACGAACATAAAACAACCTAAATCAACATTCTTATAAGAGTGTCAAAATCTTCTCCAAGACATATGTTAAAACTGTTACACCAATATTTTCTGTATTCATGATAAGAACACAATATGCTAGCATGCAATAAAAATCAAATGGGGACACAAAAAAAGGGTTGCTTTCTGTTTGACGAAATGATTCTTTTGGTCAAAACATAGGGCAGCAGTAGACAATAGTTAAGACTAGTGTTGACCAATATACACATACACAACCTCACCTTTCAAGATTTCTTCTTCTTCATCATCTTCTTGCTCCTTGCCACATGGAGTTGTTACCAACATGGGAAATAGATGCACATATACCTACTTATCAAAGTGTCAACCATATTTTAGCTTCCCAAAAAAGGGAGATAGAAAGTTTTGCAAAACTGAAATTTACGATCGAGTGCTTGATAAAGCCCTTGAAATCTTTGGTAAATTGCAATTAGTTACCATAAAAGACTTGGAATTTCACCTAATTCTAACGGATAACGTGAAGCTCATGTACCCGTGGAGGAATCATCAGTAGAGACGTAGAGGAATCGTCGCATTTGAAGATTTGTTTATGCAAAAGAACAAATATAAAAAAATCATACCCTTTGTTCTAATCCTAGCCGTTTTCATAAAGAAGATATTGATTTCAGAAAGCCAAGATAAGAGAGATAAGATTACATGTGTGACTTCTTCTGGTGGTGCTTACGGTCGATGAAGCATCAATGGTAGGATGGAGGCGTTCAACTATATGTGAAACTGATAGAGGCGTGAAGCAACAATGGAATAATCAACGTCTTTTTTATTATTTTATTATTATTTATTATTATTATTATTATTTTATTTTTTTATTTTTAAGGTTAGAAGTGGTCTACAAGTTTTGGAAGCTATTTTTAATGTCATCTAGGAAAAGAGATGCCATACAAATGTTTTTTTATGTATGTAGTCTTCTAAAAAAACAAACGTATTTTCTATAAAAATGTGTGCTCTGTAGACATAATAGGTCAATAAAAATGTGTGATCTGTAGACATAATAGGTCAAGAAGATCTTCTAAAGAAAAACAAATACCACCTAAGCTTGATACTAACTAAATGATAAATAAGATCAAAATTGGTTGATCTTCTAGCTTTTATCAACCATCCACAAGGTTTTGAAACATGTGTCAATTGTTTGTAAATGACATGCTGAATGACGTCAATATTGTAATGTTAAATTGCATATTTAAATATACTTTCCAAATCTTTGTTATAGAAATTATCTACTAATAAAAAATACAACACTTTGAAAAGGCCTATAGACAATATTTAGGATCTAACATTGTTGAAAGATGTAGCAACTCTATCGAGAGTTGTCATTGAATGATGATCTAATTTAACTAAAGGATTATTAATTGCTTCGACTCGGTGATGATGTTCTACTGTATGATCATTATATTTCTCACTAGCTCGAGTCCTTCTGCTTGAGTAGAAGATGAAAAATCAAGGATATCAATGTCGATATCATACCTACAAAATGATTTGATAAAAGAGACTAAGGAGGTGTTTGAGAGTGCTTGCTTTTTCAATCAATTTATACTAAAAGCCAGTAAATTAATAAGTTATTTTGAAAAATTATTAGACTTTTTGGAAAAATCAGGAATTTCTTACTTTTTGAAAAATTCATTTTTACACTAAAAAGTTGGTTTTACCAAACACTTATTGAACTTGTTGATTTTTTTAAAAAGCCAATCTCCTCTAATAAATAAATGTTTTTTTTTACCACTTGTCAATCTCTCATAAATTTTGACACTTATCATTTTGAGGTATTTTTGAAGTAAATATTATCCACTTGTCAATTTCTGGTTTGTTTCAATTTTTAAAATTAAAATCATATATTTATATATGTAAAGTATTAAATATAATATATATGAAATTAAATTGCAATGAATATGTTTTTTTTGTTATTTATTTTTTTTTATTTTAAAGTTTTACATAAAAAGTATTTACTATTTACATTTTAATGTTTAATCTTTTTTTAAAATTAACCTGTATAATATACGGGGTTACACCTAGTAAGTTAATAAATCATTTTGAAAAACATTCCCAAACACTCTCAAGAATGAACACAATAGGCATATAAACAATCATTTGAAATCAATATTTGCATACCCTTGAAATAACCTCGTATACTATTTGTACATTAATATTCTTGGCCATGAAGTAATTTAAAATAAAAATTGGTAAGTCACAATATATTATGTTTAAAATATCTTTTTGAATTAACCTTGACATTGCGGAACGATTCTTTCATATTAAGGGGTTTTTGGTTCATGGATTGTTTTGAAAAAAATTGGAATTTATCATAGAAATTGGAATTCAATGAATTTTGAATCTAAATAATGGAAAAAACCTATCATATGTTTGAATGGAAAAAATGAATTCAATGAATTTTGAATCTAAATAAATTAAAAACCTATCATATGTTTGAATGGAAAAAATGAAACGAAAATTCAAATTAAGTAATTTTATGAGTAGTAAATTACGAAAATTTCCTTTATCTACTTTTTATTAAATAATAAATGTTTGAACAAAACTTTCAAATTAATGCAATTATAGCCTATTAACATAATGTTATATGAACGACACGTTTCTTGGTCCTCTTGCAACAACATCATCAATAACAAAAAGCCTGTGGTTCCCATTATAACGAGATATGATGGAGGTAGATGTTGACAATCATGTCTCTAATAATAAAGAGCAACTACATCACATATATGACCTCCGACATATTAAAAATGAGTACCTATAAATAAGACGAAACAAAACAAATGTGAGAAAGTCGATATGCGTAGTAGAACATATAAACAATAAAGACGAGAGACAAAAACAAATGAGGGTGCTAGCCTACATTTGGTTGACATTAAGTAGTTCATAAATTTAACTATTTATCAAAATAAAGTTCTATACAACATAAATTTTTCTAACATATTTTCTAAACATCTATCATTTCGTCCAAATATATAAGAATATACATATACATCCTTACGCGATAGCAACTCACGCCTTAGTTGCTATCAAAATAAGATTTGCAATCAAAATAAGATGTAGATACCCATTCTAAGATCCTTGGAACAAGGTGTACAACATAAATTCCCAATATGGAGATATATCTACATATGGTCGAATTTGCAAGAAGTAGCTAGCCAACATCTTACAAATTCTCACATTGGATCACCTCCACAATTTGCAAAACACAAACACCCTTCACTTCCTCATCGTTTGGGTGCATTTCTTTTTGGTTTGATGGTAACTCAGGCACAATAAGTTTGCAAACATGTTTATGAATACAACATACAAAAAATTACAAGCTTCAAGAAATTGTTTTATACGAGTTTGAAATTTGTTCCGAATTTGGTTTATCCACATATATACAAAATGCAAAACCACTATACACAAAAAGAACATTAAATAACTTCGAAACCATAGTCAATAAAGAGTTTGAACTTGTATATTTGAGTTTCGAAATTGTTCTACAAAAAGAATTTCAAAATAATTTTCAAAGTAAATGAAGAATAAGAGTTATAATACTCATGGTCATTTTCGTGAATATCCATGGAATCACTACCGGTCCACACAAACATAGTCCGAGTGTGAGGCTAGTAGCCACACTTCCCCCTTAGGGCAGATGGCGGGAGCCTTTCAAGCTCTACTAAACCTCACTTTTCCGGTGGCCGGAGCGCCTCCGTTCCGATCGAGGAAACACACATTTACGCCGTCATTGTTTTCTGGCAATCGCTCTTTCGGTGCCACCAGAAGCAATTCGCTGCTTCCTCGAGAACTCCGTTCAGTTACTCGAACACTCGTAATCAGGAACAGCGCGAATCCTGCTCAGGTTTTTAGCTTTCTCATGCTATTTGATTCATTTTGATATTTCGTTTTATAAGCTTTACATACAGTGGATTCTAAGGAGTTTTAACAAAGCAAGAATAGCTGAGATATCGATTGAATGATCAATGATGATATATTGACTGGTTTCTGCCCCTTATAAAGGCTTACAAAGATACGTCGAGGACTGAACAGAGCTAGCTAAAACCTAGGAACAAAATCAGCTAAGAGATTTACTTCTAACAATCAAACTAATCGCGGGATTTTATTAGATCGATTACGCTGAATCATTCTTCAAAACTCAATAGCTCATTTCCCTACAATTAATTACTCTCAATCTTTCTTCAACATGAAAGGAGTTTCAAGGAAATGATGGCCCTAATCAACCTCCTCAAGTGTTTGCATCGACTATTTTGGCTTCTGCAAAACCATTGTTGAATTTCGTTGGTAGCAATTTTCTTCCATTAGGTAATATGCAATCTGCTTTTGTGTAACTGGATTATTTCTGTATTCATGACAGTGTTTTACAAAATACTAAAAGAAAGGGACTGAAAAAAAAAAGACATACTTGAAGCTTTTATGTAACTTCAATCAAAGCTTTTGTTAACTTCAATAAATCATTAATTCTTACTGATACTTGGTTTCTTATTTAACATGATGCAGCTCTTATTAGTGGAGTAACAT